ACAAAGGTACACTCACCAGAGGTCCCTTGTCCGCCCTCGGGCCGGGAGCACGCCTTGGTTGGGGTCGGGGGTTACTGGCTCCAGGTCCAGGGTGAAAAACGTATCCTGGCTGTTGGGGAAACTGGTTTCTCTGCTTCCTTGCTGTGAGCTATCTTCAATCTCTTCATCATCATCTTCCTCATCCCCAAAACCCGCTTCCATGTTGCGTGATTCTCCATTGACGGAGTCAAAGCACAGGGTTGGGGTAGTGGTGGCTGCACCCCTAGCATGGCGTGCAGCTCAGCGTAGAAGCCGCATGTCTGTGGCTCTGACCCAGAGTTTGCCTCTCTGGTTTTGTGGTAGGCTTGCCTTAGCTCCTTAATTTTCACGCGGCACTGCTGTGCGTCCCTGTTATGGCCTCTGTCCTTCATGCCCTTTGAGACTTTTTCTAATGTTTTGGCATTTCGTTTACTGGAACAGAGTTCAGCTAGCACGGATTCGTCTCCCCATATGGCGAGCAGATCCTGTACCTCCCGTTCCGTCCATGCTGGAGCTCTTTTGCGATCCTGGGACTCCATCATGGTCACCTCTGCTGATGAGATCTGCACTCACCTGCACCTTTCCACGCTGGCCAAACAGGAAATGAGATTCAAAAGTTCGCGGGCCTTTTCCTGTCTACCTGGCCAGTGCATCTGAGTTGAGAGCGCTGTCCAGAGCGGTCACAATGGAGCACTCTGGGATAGCTCCCGGAGGCCAATACAGTCGAATTACGTCCACACTACCCCAAATTCAACCCAGCAAGACCGATTTCAGTGCTAATCCCCTCGTCGGAGGAGAAGTAAAGAAATCGATTTAAAGAGCCCTTTAAGTTTAAAAAAAAAAAGGGGGGGGGGGGCTTTGTTGTGTGGACGGGTCCAGGCTTAAATCGAGGTAACGCTGCTAAATTCGACCTAAAATCGTAGTGTAGACCAGGTCCCAGTCTTATTAATTTCTCCTCAAATGGAAGCTGTTCCATGCCCCTAATAATTTTTGTTGCCCTTTTCTGAACCTTTTCCATTTCCAGTATATCTTTTTTGAGACCACATCTGCACGCCGTATTCAAGATGTGGGCGTACCATGGATTTATAAAGAAGCAATATGATATTTTCTGTCTTATTATCTATCCCTTTCTTAATGATTACCAGCGTTCTGTTAGCTCTTTTGACTGCTGCTGCCCACTGAGTGGATGTTTTCTGAGTACTATCCACGATGACGCCAAGATCTTTCTTGAATGATAACAGCTAATTTAGATCCCATCATTGTATATGTGTAGTTGGGATTATGTATGTATGGTAGATCCTGTTGTGATGTAAACACAAACCTGACCCATCCTTTGTATCACCGATCCAGGATTTGGTGCTGGTGTATTTCCTCCGCACACATTAAGAGCTTTGCTGAATAACAGAATGCACAATCCATATCCAGATAGAGAGAGTGCATAACTGTGAGCTGTAGTACAGAGCATCCACTGCTAAAAGTTAGCAGAGGTCTGAAGACCCCAGTCATGGTGTAATTCATCTTGACCCGCCCTCTCCTTGCTGGCTGGCTATGCAGAAGTGACGCTACTTCTTTGTTGCTAGCTTTAAACATTCCTACTCTTAGATATGAAGTTGCGTTATGGGCTAATTAAGACAGACCACGAGGTAAATCCCAAATTGTCCATCCTTCCTGATGACCATTGGAGGTGGACAGAGGGTTTCCTAAATGCATAGAGGGAGCAGGGGGAGTTTAGGAAGTAAGAGGGAGTGGAAGCCATACAGAGAGTCCGTCTGGATTGGGAAAATGGCTTTTGCCCAGGTTGCCTGGTGGTCTGGCTGGCCAGCCACCCACGTCTGTGTGAGCTGGAGAGTTCTGTATCCATTTGAAGCGCATGCAAGTTTGAGTGATTTGTGTCACAGCCGTAACATCATTTAAATCTCATATCTGCTGAATTTCCTGAATTATTATTGAGGAAGGGCAGCAAGCAGGGGGTAGCTCAGGGGTTTGGAGAAAATGGCTTGTGAGCTGGAGTTGATAAGTAGCTCTCGGCCACATAAAATGCCTGTAATGCCATACGTATGCCACATGAGCATGCTAGTGTCGTGCTACTCCACTGTAAAATCGCAAATAACTAATACAAGACGATAGTATTAAAAATGAGAACTGGAACAGCTCCACTAAGTGGGAATGCATCTGGGCAAGACAGCCTGCCTCTGAAATATTGTGATTCTATGAACAGCTCTAAATTAACTCATTTCTATTAGTGTTCGTAGCTACCCGTAGATATATTTTAGAAAACTGAAGGGAGAAAGAAATATTGTGGCCACCCTTAAATACTTTACTTTGCGACCAGGTGACATCACCGGGACATGGGACATGTCCTCTGCTTGGTATAGGAAATAATATGAATACTGTAATATCCTACCTATCTACAAAAGTTTGGAAAGTTTATAAAGGTGACTACTTTATTACAGTAAGTAGATGTGATAATCATTCTTTGGGTGAGAGCCACATCTGACAACTAACCCAATCTCCTTCCATAACTTCACATTGTTATTTTCCTTGAACTGCATACTAGTCAAATAGCCAGTTCTTTGTTCACGCCATTGCCCATCCCCCTTAACTACTGTGCATCATTAGGTGTCTGTCAGTATCCATCTCCTTGCCATCTCTTTTCAGGATTGAACATGTCAAGCTTAGTCTTTCCTCATAAGAAATAGCCACTAGTTCCCAAATTAGTCATATCATCTTTGCCTGAGTTTTCCCCAAAACCTGAATTTCAAAATAGTCTCTCTTCTCAGTAATGTACACTAGAGTTTGCAGAAATATACATGTTGGGTCCTTCATCTGCTGCATCAGCTATAGTTTTGACAGGATTCTATTGCCTTGAAGCTGCAGCCATAGGCTCCAATCTTGCTCCATACACATCAATGGGAGATCTGCTATTGACTTCAGTACGAGCAAGATCTGGCCGATAACATTTTCCCCCAGTGCTAGCAGGAGGAGATCTGTTACTTTAATTTGAACTTTCTTTATCTAGGTGAGGGAGATGGGGCAGAGATGGATTTTAGAAGTCTGCTGATTTACATGTTGTTTTGTTCTGAGTGATTCACTGCTAAGTGGATAATTAACATTTAAGTATCTTACTATCTGTATAAAAGTAGCTGACATCCAAGAGATCTGACTTCCAAACGTGTTTTTGTGTGATGACCATCATCTCGGCCAATACACTGGGAGTTGAGCTGCTGACCTCAACAAACAAAAGCATGGACTGCTACATTTTGCACTAAAGAGCCAAGGTTCTATAGTGTGGGGGCTGCAAACACTCGTATCCTCTGTGGATTGGCACAGAAGTGTACCTGTAACACTCAGTCTCCATAGACTAAATTTGCTGCTCTGGAGTTGTATTCCTGATAGATTTGAATCAGGAGGTAAAGACAGATGGGAGTGTTTTAGGTTGACTTTTGGGGGGGGGGGGAGGCTCATCTCAAGAGTCCTCACTCAGATAGACCTTAAATAATAAAGCAATTGATACATTTTACAAATGACCCTCTCTCCCTTTAGAGCAAAAGGAAAAAATGGTGAGAATTAGCACTGAGATCAACATGATTGTTTCTCCTATCCTGGTTGCAATCCCATAAAATTCACAATTAAGTTGAAAGGTCCAAGCATTTTATGTGCATTTCCTGCTCCTTGGCTCCTAACGAGAGAGTGCGCCAAGAGAGAATGAAATAACTCCCCGTCTTCTAGCTGTGCCAAGTACATGTCCGAACAAATTTGTGGAACACCAATGCTGCTATTGAAGCACAAGGATAAAGCAGCATGTGTGACCAGGTGCACTATTCCCAAATTCTATTACAGATCATCATTTCTTCTTGTCTACCTTGCCAAGGTTGTCACACGTCTTTCAAATTACAGTCATTGCTGGCGTAATTAAAGTGCTCTGTGAGTAGTTCCCGAGGATTCCAAGTTTTAGTTTGGGGAATTAAAGGAGCAGGCGGTTTGACAGTTGGAATGCAGGGCAGGCTGGAAGAAGACTTACATCCAACAAAAGACTCATTTGAAAAACTTGCATTGACCTTTGTTCATGTGCTGACTCAGTTAACCCCCTGATTTCATGGTTTAGACAGCTCAGTCAAGCAGGGGGTTACGGGAGGCCATTTTAAACATTGGGTGTCAGATTCTTCAGCATCAGGGGCCAGATTGAGAAGTCAGTTCAGTTTTTGGCTATATGACTGCAGCCTTAAGTAACAAAACCTATGGGCATTTTAGGGAAATAGCCTAGTATGGAAGAACCTTTTCCACTGGTATTTTATATGGTTCCTTAAATTGGCCCCAGTCCCTCAAATCACTTAAGAATATGATCTATTCACTTCAATGGAACCACTCACATGCTTAAAGTTAAGCATATTCTTAAGTTCTTTGCTGGATCAGGACTATAGAAAAGACTTTAGGTAGCAAATCCTTATACAATGCACTAAGCACTTCAGAACACGTGCAATTTATTGGGCATAGTTAATGGGTTCTGGGCAAATAGTGAAAACAGTTATTAAAAATTCATCAAATAAATTATTAAATTCTTATTTGACCAGCTATCCTGATGATGGAGAATAGCCAAAATGCAGAGCATGGCCGCAAGAGGAGAAGGGAGAGGAATAGGTTTGATTGTTTTGATCACCGCTGTCAGCACTACATAAATGCATTAGAACCCTGATTCAAGAACACTCAAGTCTGTTCCTATTCAGGTCAACACTTAAGCACCTGATTAAGCGCCATCCAACAGTAGGATATGCTATTTTGAATCAGGGCCTAAGAGAGATTGCCAGCTCGATGAAGAAGTTGCCCTACTGGGGGTGGGGAGGGTAGAGCAAAAGTGCTACATGTGGGAGTTATTTGAGCGCCCCTGTCTAAGTTGCTAACTCAAGACCAGCATCAGCAGATTTTCACAAGAATTGGAATATTTCCTCCTTCATGTGACTGAATCTCTTGTTTTGTGATTGTAGGTGAGAGTCTACAATCTTCTGCAGTATGAGCACGGACCAGAGGATGTGCTGATCTTAGCTACCGATGGACTCTGGGATGTATTATTAAATGAAGAAGTGGCAGAAGCTGTCACAAACTTCCTACCAAACTGTGACCCTGATGATCCCCACAGGTTTGTGCTCTTACCTGACTGTTAGAATTCCTCTGCTGCAGCAAGCCTGGGGTTTGTAACTCATTTGTTTCGAGAGAGTAACATGAAGTGAATGAACCTTCTCTTGTAAGTTCTTCTGTATCTTTATGGATAGGTTTGCAGCTTGGAGGCTCTCAAAGTGGGAATTATCAAAGATGTTAAAAACCTGCTGACTGTACGGGGATAGGCTGGGCAGTATCTTGGCACGGGTTCTATTTTTCCCACCGCACTAAAGCTGTGTGGAGACCTCAGCTTCTCCCAGTGAAGGACATGGCATATTTGTTTGTCTGGCTGATCATTTCCCTCTGGGAAGCCATTTCCCACTTAAGAATAACTTTCTCTTTCCCCTGAGGAATTTAGCAGCTGCAGTGCCACAGCACCAACCCAGTAGGCGTTGTTGCTAGGCAGTGCTGGAAGGAAAGGTAGTTTGCCCACCTTGCCCCTACAGGTTCTGAGCATCTTTTCCTCAGTGCAGTCATGTGGTGCAGGAGCCTTGAGGCTACATGTGGTTTTTGAATGTGGGGCTCCCGTACCATTGCTCATTGTGCGGTCACTTTACTGGTCATATTATGTTCTTAAAACCAGTCTTTAATAGCACATACCCAGAGTGCCAACGGCTGGATAAGTTGAGTGAGAACAAGAGATTAAAAGTTTGATTGCAGCCTCTTTCATCAATAATATTTGCTATTTTCCTGGCTTTATCTCCTCTTCCTGGTCAACATTGCTCTTCCCAGCATCCTATTATCTAGCAATACAAACGTTCCCAAAGAGCTAAATGTCACATGTTCTCCCTTGAGCGAGTGGGTCAGTCTGTTTTATTGTGAATTAAAATATCAGAGTGAAGGGGGCCTCATTGTTGCTTCCCAACTTCAGGCCCCGTGGTTTCTGTGCCCAGCCACCCCTTTCTCCTGAGCCATCCCCTCTCCTGGGTTGCATTTTTCCTGTTATGAAAACTCCCACTCGAATACACCAGAGAATAGAGCTTTTTAAACATTTTGTTCCCATTTCCCTTGGGAGGGTAGCCCAGTGTCAGACACACAATCTGGGATATTTTGGCACCCAAATGAAAATGTGTGGAAAAATCCATAGAGCTCTAGTTACATTAGTCTGTTGATGGCAGTTGGTGTGGGAAAGAGGACAGCAAGTCTGAAAATGCTTCATGTGTTTGTTTCTGAATCATCATCTTTTCAGGCTTAGCCCTGTACTACCACACAAAGGGAAAACGGGGAAGATAACCATGGGCAAAGGCACTCTGACAGCCACTTGGGTTTTTAAGTGACAGCCATTCTAGAGAAAATTGCAAACAGTATTTTCTTATACTGACACTTACAAACATGGAATGTAAAATAGCATTTCACTGCAAGTGCTGGATTGTCAGGTGAATGGATGATTAGCGTGAAGCTGCAGCTGTGACATTCTGACCTTCACAATCTCCTCTCTGAGAGATGTGGTAGAAATGAGAGAGCTGGGCTGCTTGACTTCCCTACAGCTTATTAGTCCCTTTGCTAAGATAGGTAGATAAATAAATACTAGGTTTTGCAGGAGAGGCCAGGGCTATGGCATCATACAGCCCGCCCAAGAGAAGAGAAGCAGCAGCAGCATATGTATATGCTGAACAGCCAACACAAAATGGTGCTTTCATTTAAAAAAACAACAACGAAGTCTAGGGATGTGCCAGCAGGATTGGGAAAACCCATCCCCCTTTCTCCTGCCCTGTTCCCAAAGAGGTAGATACCAGCCAAACCAAGTGCTAAAAGGCTCCCCTAATACTGTAGTGACTGTTTGTCTCTTCTATAAATAAGTTGTTTGAAGGGTTGCTTCCTGGAACCTCCCCACCTCTCTGGGACTTCATTCACCCAACTGTTGCTTCCTCTCTCTCCCTGTGCACACCTGCCACACCCACCTGCCCCCCCAAAAGGGAGAGTCTCACAAGAACTGTCCACAAAACCTGGTGCTGCCCTTCTTATCTTGGTTGCTTCTTGCTCACTACTAGTACGTGCACATAGTACTACTGAGTGCTGACTCCAACTTGCCACCGCAATGAGAGGAATCTGAAAGCCATGATGGAGGCAACAGCTGGTCATGTGGACATCCAACCCACCATCCTGGGTTGGGAGGAAGAGAGGCTGGGTAGGTGAATAGTGCCTAGGAACAGGGCCTAAAAAATAGGCACTGATTACTTAAGAATATGCACACAATGTTAAACTAATGGCCATACATGGGGTTGGGAAGGAATTTCCCTCTGTGTCAGATTGGCAGTGACTTTGAGGGGATGTGCGTTGGCTTCTTCTGCGGCATGGGGCACTTGCCAGGATCATCTGGGTATTTCTCACTTAATTCCATGCCTTTACCGGGGCCTTGGCCACTGGTGCACCACAGTCCCTCCTGTTCTCTACCTATGGCACACTATAGTTTAGTCTTCCTAGGGCTATAATATTTTGGTCTAATTCTGGGTGTTGGCCTCGGTGTGGAGGTGGCTGAGTGGTGTTTAGTTGCCTGTGATATGCAGGAGGTCAGACTGGATGATCTGGTGGTCTCTTCTGGCCTTGAACTCTATGACAAACACTTGTAGCTCCCAGGACAGCTGCCTACAATCACCCCATTCATTCCCTATTAGGCACAATGACTTTCTCTTGGAAAATCTGAGGCACAGTTGTCTCTAGGTGGGTAGCAAGGACTACCTTAGCAAGCAGTTAGAAGAAGGGGCTGTCTGCAAAGCTTAAAGTGAGCTTGGTGACTCAGCCAGTCAGAAAGCATAGAGAACCCCAGGGAAAGTCCTTTGCTGATGAGAACGTACGGCTCATCTGAGTCTGAAGTAGTGCTCCACGGTGGACAGACAGAGAGCAGTGTTGACCATCCCCCATCCTAGAGAATTTTCCTGTAATTTTTCTCCTCTTTTCAGGACATGATTCTACTTGCAACAGTGCAGGAATATGCCCGGGGGAATGGAGAGCTGGGTTTTGTGTGCCGTTCAGCTTAGAAACAAGTTGCTTGACTGTTGATTTCCCGGTTTTGGCATGGCCGCCATCTTTATTTAAACAAGCTTTCCCAAAACTTTTGTTACAAACTAATGAAATCCTATCATCAGTTAGTAGCAGACCCAGAACTTCTCTAAGCTCCGGTGAGGGAAGTAGTGGAAAGAGGAGGAGAAACTAGTCAGGAATCAGTTAGGAACAGAGGGATCCTCAGCATGTTAGGCGATGGCAGAGGAAGAATGGTCAGAACTTTGAGGTGCCTCACCTGGTTGATAATGTGGGGGGGGGGAGTCGCCAAACAATATATTATTTAAAACTTTATCCGGGGAATCTCAGTTTATCCGAGTTGACATCAGCAATGCTATCCAAGGACATACACGTACCTGGAATCGTGAATAGCTTATTGTAAATTAACAGTGGAGAGGAAGCATGGTCGTGAGGGTAAGTCACTGCACAGAGATCAGATTTAATTCCTGGCTCTGCCACAGACTTCCTGTGTGAACTTGGGCAAGTCACTGCATCTCTCTGTGCCTCTGTTCCCCATATGTGAAATGGGGGTGATGATACTCCCTTCCTCCCACTCTGCTGGCCTTATCTATTCAGATTTCAATAGATTCTGGGCAGAGACCGTCTCCTGCTACATTAGTGTACAGCAGCTAGACCAATAGGATCTTGATCTCTCTGGGGTCTGCTACCACAATACAAATAATAGTGTCTACCTATTCAGCAGCTAACCATTTACAATAGGTCTAATCTTTCAATCATTCAGAAGTTGATAACTTTATTTTTATTTCAGAGTGGTAGTCGTGGTAGTCTGTATCAGCAAAAACAAGGAGTCCTTGTGGCACCTTAGAGACTAACAAATTTATTTGGGCATAAGCTTTCGAAAGCTTATGCCCAGATAAATTTGTTAGTCTCTAAGGTGCCACAAGGACTCCTCGTTGTTTATTACCATAGTGCAGAGGTGGGCAAACTACGGCCCGTGGCCACATCCAGCCCACGGGACCCTCCTGCCCAGCCCCTGAGCTCCTGGCCTGGGAGGCTACCCCTAGCCCCTCCCTGCTGTTCCTGTTCCCCCTCCCCCGCAGCCTCTGCTCACTGCACCACCGGCACAATGCTCTGGATGGCCAGGCAGCGCAGCTGCAGAGCCGCGGCCTGAGCTGGTGCTCTGGGCAGCGCGGCTGTAGCGCAGCCAGCCACCGGTGCTCCAGGCAGCGTGGTAAGAGGGCTGGGGAGTTCAGGGTGGTGGTCAGGGGGCGGGGGTGTGGATAGAGGGCGGGGCAGTCAGAGGGCTGGGGGCAGAGGTCCCGGGGGGCAGTCAGGAAGGAGGGGGGGTTGGATAGGGTGCCGGGAGGCAGTCAGGGACGTGGGGTCCGGGAGCGGTCAGGGGACAGGGAGCAAGGGGTGGTGGATGGGGCAGGAGTCCCAGGGGGACCGACAGGGAACGGGGGGGTTGGATGGGGCAGGAGTCCCCAGAGGGGCTGTCAGGGGGTGAGAAGCAGGGGGGTCAGATAGGGGTTGGGGGCTGGGCCACACCTGGCTGTTTGGGGAGGCACAGCCTCCCCTAACCGGCCCCCCATTCAATTTTGGAAACCCAATGTGGCCCTCAGGCCAAAAAGTTTGCCCGCCCCTGCCATAGTGCCTAGGGGCCCTACTCATAGATCTGCACCCCATCTGTGGCAGGTCTGTACACTCAGAACAAAAAAGGTAACGGTCCCTGCCTCAAGGGGTTTACGGTCTAAATATAAGACAAGATACACCAGATGATGGATTAGACAGTTGGGGGAGTACAAGTAAACCATGAAACATAATTGGTCTGCATGGTAGGCACTGGTCTGTGCATGCCAGCAGCCTAATCACTGTCAAGTTTTTTGTAGGTATCATGGCAAAGGAGAGTTTTGAGGTGGGATACGAAGGCGGATAATGAGGTAGCTTTGCCACACATTTCTTGCACTAAGAATGAAGATTCTTTGTTAAATGTCACCAATGAGTTAGCTGAACTAATTA